TTGCCCGCGACTCGCGTTAACTTGGTATAATAAGCGAATCGCATTTGGAAAACTATTTCGCACGCTGGCTCTTAACCGACCGCTGCATTATCACGTAAATCTTTTAATTAGCAACTCGGAATCACACATGTTATTAACGTTCCTAACGGCGTTAATTCCATTCACGGACAAATTATCTGTGCTCCAAACCTCTCGTTCTACCATTACAAACGCTAAGAGCAAAGTGGTCTCTCACAAATTGTGGGCTTTATTTCGAACTCCTGAAACAATATCGTCGGAATACAAATGTTCTCGCGCCACCGTGGGATCCTGTTAGCCGCTAATATCGCGCCACGTATACGTATACATGATCCTGTAGTTTGGTTTAAGCGTAACGACTGTGGATACTCTTTGCAAAATTTCCAACTACGCGAAACTTTTTCTATTTTCGGTATTCGAATGGAATATAATGTGGTAACCGTGAAACCTTTCTTCGCCAACATTATTTTACTAAATACGAATCGATCGTACTTATAATTACGTCGATATTTAACGGATACTATTAATATTGAAATTCGTTTCGAGGATCCAAAATTTCCAGCAAATTATCGATCTGCGAGAACATTGTCTCGAGATATCAGCGACCGGTGCAGCAGCTGTACTCGAGCCACCTGAAATCGGGGCGATCGGACATTAGGCGTCCGTTAACACGGACTTCGGTATGAAGCGAGCTTAATATATGATTTACGTTTACACTATACCTGAAGCTCATAGATCCTAGATACACAGAGCCCAAACGGAACACCGTCTAACTACAAGCGACGTAGGAGAACCGGTGATCGCTCGTCGTCGTTACGAAAACCATTTCCGGAGAAATTGCATGGATTCCGGCCTAAACTAATCTTTTATTGCTCCTCGTGTAAAAGTTACGAGCTGGTCAAACAGAGAAAGGATAGAGATGGAAACATCATTCCCTGAACTCTTGATACGGGACCACTTTAGAACCGCAAGAGAAAGAGGAAGAAGTAAAAGGAGTATCCATTCGGAAGGGCAAAGAAAGAATAGAAAGAAGGACAATGGAAAGAAGCAAAAAGAAAGAGGATCAAACAGCATGACGAAGAAATATCGATTTTGCGATAATTGCTCTATTACGTTACATAAACAGACTCGTTTATGGTATCCCGGGCTTAAAGCAAGTTTTCGCCTTACTCACAAGGAAGAAGGAAGAATAGAAAGGGGGAAAAGGCGTGCGATCGAATGCGTGAGTTTCATTCTAAAACGATCGGTTCCCTTAACGTTCCTTTCGCCACTGTTCCTTTGTCTCTTCCACGCTTTTGCTCCTTTTTCCTGCCTTTCTCTTTCGCTGCGATTGCGAAACGAGAAAGGATGGAAATCGCTCGACATTCTTCCTCGAAATTTTGCGGCAAATGGTCGCGTGCCCGGAGAAAAGAGAAGAGGAACAAGTCCACGGTGACTTTCAAACGTACGTAGCTCAGTTGTGTAAACGTCCTCGCTGGCGAGGCGTTCGCGTTTGAACGAACTTTTGCTAATTCGAGAAGGTTTCTCGTTGAAGAAAGTCCTGGTGGACGCGGACGAGGTCACGGTACTCTGAGAAAGTCCAGATTTTTATGTATCGTTAAGAGAATCCGCGCGAGAAACGGGGACGAATCGAATCTCGCGCGTACGACGTAAGATATTACGTGTATAATATAATCTCTGCGTTACATCTTCGCATAGGTGGTTGAGTTTCTCGCGTGCTATCCGTTTATGCACCGATGATTACCCGACTGTCCGGCAGTCGGGTAATTTTTCAGATTGCGGATAAAAGGGGGCTGTTACCGCGATGAAACACCGTCGTAAAAATAAAATTATTACGACGATAAGCAGCAACGCAACAGCAATTTCGCGGTAGTGTCGCGTAACGTTTCCAACGATCGTTACGATTTATTCGACTGACAATTTCTGCCCACCTATCGTAATTATTCCCGAGTTGGTCGATAAAAAGACGATATTCAAGCTTTCTTACGTCTCGTCGTGGATTACACGGCGAAACGCACATATGTACGTAGTTTCCACGATGTTTGCTGATACGAGAAGAGATACCGAGAACGCAAGAGCTACGAAATATAGAAAGTCAGAAGAAGCAGATACGGTATGAAACTCGATGGAGTTTTCAAGGATTCCGCCCCTTGATTTACGACTATGTTATATATAAGATACTAAGTGAAACGCGGAATTCGATCGAAAAAATTTCGATACGCGAGCGAACCTGTTATGGGTAAGATTAAGATTGAACGAAACAAAGAATGTAATCCAGAGATACGATCTGACATTTCATAAATAAATGATTCGTTAGTGTCGTATAAAGTCACGATTATATAGGCAATTAAACCGTGATACCTATTTCGCATCACCGTGTAGAGTTAATTACCTTGTTCTTCGTTGAGACTTTAAACGAGAAATCAGGTCTGTGCTCCTGACCTCCAAAAAGCGTTTCAGTGAAATTACACAACATAAAATAAGACAAGTATCAAAAGCAACCGCAGAACCACTTTAGAGAGCGTTCGCGTTACCATCGGATACACTGCATTTCCTTCGCAGAAAAATGTCTTACTTAGACGTTCGTAAAAGAATAAAGTATCACGGACGCCATGCTAAATCTACTCAATCGCTATTCCATTTTCAAATGTAAGTTTCAAATGTAAGGCTACGGGATAAGGTAATCTCGTTTCGCGAGAGTCGCATTAAAATGGCTGTTATAACGAAACGTCGTTGCGAGATCAAAAGGATATCGAGTTTTATGGGATTAGACGAAGGACAGAGGACGAGCCAGCGTACTTTGACGCAAAACACATCTCAGTCAGGGATCTCGTACAGCTTTGCCGAAGCGAGATTACTGCATCTGTTTCTTCGTTTATTTGTGCCACGACGCGACGCGGTGGCATGGAAAATTGTCGGGAGGTTGCACAAGCTTCGACGGAACGGTTAGTTTCGCGACAGAAAGAGAGACCTTACGATTTCTCTCCGCTCGAAACGATCGCAATTAGGCGCGAAACATCGATGATCGCCCCCCCCCTCCCTCCTCACCCCCGTCTCTAGCGCGAACAAATTTCTGTTAAACCATTACGAACGTACGCAAATCCTCGGGACAGGAGAGAAAAAGAAACGATGAAAGTCGATGCTAATGGCGCGTCCGAGTGACTCGATTTGCAGAAACATTTGCACGATGGATCGATTGAAATAAATGGGACTTTCACTTTGCGAAACATTCGACGCGAACAACGCAAATTACAAAACGATAACAATGTTTTTGCACCAATAGCAACCACATCGGAGTATTTGTATGTTTGAGAAACTGTTTCCACGAATATTGACCGATACATAAAAAAGAAGGTGGAAGAAAGAGTAAGAGGAGAAAGACGTACGAATGTGTGTACACACGACGTAGTTATATAGATTGCTCCGCAAATGTTAGAAATGAAATTACTCGCAAACATCGTTAAGGCGCCATCTAAACAACGGGATGTAGGAACTCGGGCGCGGAAGAAAAATTGTCTGACCTTTACCTTGCTTCCGGTGCGCGTGGCTCAGGCTCGTTCATGTCGGACCACAGTTTCTCTGTTCATGTAAGACGGATTCTGGTTAACCGTGTATCGAGAAATCGGTGTTTCGCGCGGCAGAGAGAGCACAGCTTTAACGAACCGTAAGAGCAAATCGCGCCGTTTAAAGTGCCGGATGTTCATGGCGGCGACGATGTCGCTAAGGGGAAGAGACGTCGCGACGTTTATATGCCGCGTTTGCGTGTTTCGTCTACAGCAAAAATGTTTCCCGAACTTTCCCTTTATCTCGTTTTAAAATATGACGCTTTAGATGTTCCGTGAAAAGTAAAAGCAACGTCATCGATGGGACGGAAATATGAGAAGGGCGGAAGGAACTCGAGTTCGACGCGATGGAATATTTCCTACGTGATTTTCTGTCCTGTTTGATTCAGTCAACATACATTGTCGGATTTTTCATTGTGCAATTTTAATGGAAATCGTAATATGTTCGTAATTAATAAAACAGTTCTCATGTACTTGCCATAACTAGCAGCCGACGTTGTTAGAACAACCAGCACGATGTAAACGCTCGTTCCCTGTAATATAATAGATTTTGTTAATAAATGTTATTTCGTGACGCAACTCGCTTTGTTTAAATGTAAACAACATGAAATTAGTGGAAATGAAATATGTGCGATAACAAAAGCTTCTTAGAAATTATAATAGTACACGTCGAATTAATTAAAAGATCGTTGTATCGTGGAACGGCTGTAACGAGATTTTCTAAAATTGGCAGCTCGCTGAAAAAGCCAAAAATTAATTAAATACTCCACGGTACAAACCTTCAAAAAGCAGTTAGAGAGCTTTCGGAAGGTGTAATATAAGAGCTCGTGCGGAAATAGAGCGGCATTCGAATGAAATTTCAATCATTCTATCTCATGAAACGACGAAACCAAACAAGTGCTAACGACGCAAAGGAGCCAAAAAGGAGATAAGCGTAATAATTTAATTCATAATGCGCATTTCATCTCGATCTTCCGCGGAAACGTGCATTAAATTAAGAATAGCAAACGAGAATTGCTCGATGTTCCTACGGTAACATCACGGGGATATAGTATTTAAACATTTTGCTCGAACTATAGTTCTAGAAAGATACATCGACGTCTAAACGTGAACTCGGAAGGTACATAGGTAGAAGCTAGGGAAGATATGGCCAAGTTCTCGACGGAGAGCGGAATAAACATAAATATACTTTCCGCTTCATACCTTCGTGGAAGATATCTTCTAACCACGCTCATTTACTCGGCGCCGTTAAAGAGCAGAGAAGGAAAGCCTATCGCCAAACCTCGAGATACATTTTCAATAGTCTAATCGTTTAACGGTTAAGAGATTTCAAGGTAATCGTTGTAACTAACCAACACGATACATACAAACACCGTTTAATAATTTAATATTTATTTTGCATAAAAAAATATAATCATTATATACAAATATATGAGTGTGAATGAAGATCCACGTCGATGAAGTTCATCCTTATCTAATGATGTAAGCCGAGGGACAGTTCGTGTCCTCCAAAACCACCTCCTCCGAATCCACCTCCGTGTCCACCTCCGTATCCACCTCCAAATCCGCC